AACTTGCGCAAGAAAACCTTTTTCACGCATTTTTGCACAACATACTTATAAGATATATACACAGAAAAATCACTTAAATTGTATTCAACCCAATCTTTGAAAAGTGCTTTTATCTAACAAAAACAAACAAAATATATTGCCACTGTATCACAATTCGTGAAGTAACCACATGGTTAACCATGTGGTAATAAAAATAGGAAAAAACCTATTTTACATTATGTACTGGGTTGCCTTATAATATTTAACAAATATTGTATTCAAAATTCAATTCGTATTTATACAGGATATTTCACAAAAATGTTGTCCTATATAAAAAAAATTATTAATGAAGAACTATTGATTAGATTTGTATGGAAATCAAATTACCTGTAAATAAATAAATGTTCAGAACAGTTGGCGTTTTTAATAAAAAGAATACACAAATGAACATTCAACTTTATTCTACACACCTACACACATTTTCTAAATTTTCTTTCAAGAAAATAAAAATACATACCTTTTAGAAGCAAGATGTAATCGTTATTGCGTGAAACAAAAATTATTTTTTTTTAGCGCTGTGATACGGAAAATTAACAATAGCTGCAAGTAAGTAGATTTACGTTATGTATAGAAAAAAATTACGTTTACACGTTTTTGTGATGTACAGAAATCGCTAAAAAACAAATTTTAAATATAGGGGTTTTATGTGTTGCTGATAATAAGAGTTCAATATTACAAAAAAAATGGCGTATTGTATAGAGTATGGCAATAGAACCCTGTAAATGTTAATTTTTGTTATTTTACTAGTCTTGAAATTATGATTGATTAAGTAAATAAAATATTTGTAGGATAAATAATATATTAATTATAATTAATTATATATAATATAATTATAATATTAATTATAATTAATTAAATATAATATAATTATAATATTAATTATAATTAATTATATATAATATAATTATATATAGTGAAAATATAACATTATTTACTAAAAAATAATACAAAGCGCCAGAACAAAATTCCATCACTAATTGTTTGTCATATATTTAGTCAATATTAAAACTATTTACCATATCGCTTCCACCATTTTGTTTTTTGTAAAATAAACCTTTAGTAAAATATATTAACATACGAACATAATAAATCCGCCATTTTGTTTTTTGAAAACTAAATAAAAACTTTGTTATCAGCTACCAATAAAACCCCTAAATTTAAAATTTAAAGCCTCTAGGATAACAGCTTCCTCTTTTGTCTCTTTTTTTAGAGATTTTCGTATCAAAGAAACGTTTAAATGTAAGTTTTTCTGTGCGTGATGTAAATACAGAGGTTGTGGTATTGTTTGCAATATTAATAATTTTTATTATTATTGTTTCAACAGGATTAAAAAAAGCGGGGTCGTCCAACCCGTTGCCGCGATTGCAACGCGCTAAAAAATAATAGTTTTACACAATAACGATCACAATGTTTTTACTTATCCCTTTACGAAATGTAATTAATCATTTTTAAGTAAGTATTTTTTTATTTAGGACAATTTTTTTCTAATATACCCTGTATAAATACGAATTAAATTTTCAATACTATATTTGTGGTAAATTATTAGGCAACCTAGTACTTAATGTAAAATACGTTTTTACTGATTTTTATTATTATGCTAACTTCGCGAATTTTGACCTCACTGCTATAAAATTTATATTTAATATGCTTCAATACATTAATTATATAGTTTAATATCCCAGAGATCAAATAAGAAACATGAGCCTGGCGGAATACAACACCGAACAGCGCGCAACTGCAATTTTGCAGTAAGTGACAATTTACAATTTACTTTACGCATCTTTTAGGAAAATAACTATAATATATAACTATAACTATATTATAACGTTTAGATTTTATTTTTTTCTTTAAAAAAGTTCTGATATTTAAATTGATATTTTATTCTGGTACAACACAAAGGATAATTAGAGATATTGTATTCCGCCAGGCTCATGTTTCTCTGGGATATTAAATATAAATTTTATTTTTTCTATAAGCAAGGTAATCTCTCATTTTTTTTTTATCAGTTTTTTAACTTTAACATTTTTCTACAAACACGGAAAGTATCTACTTATATTTTTGTATTAAATTATTTTAGCAATATTTTTTGTTTTTAATTAAAAATACTATATTTGCGTGTGCAAAGTAAGCGTGCAGAAAAGTACAACTTTGCACACACAAATGCTTGCGGATAAGTATTACTTTAAGCACGCGAATAAATAAAATTATTTTTAAATAACAATAAGTTTATTGTGTCGAAAGCACACTCTATAAAAATGAATTAGTCAAAACTGACTATAATTTAATAGTTATTAGGTAGTATCTGCTTTTTCACTTGTACTTTGGTTAACCATAAAATACCATGGTATCGAAAAATTTAACAGCCAATTATTATGTAAAATTGTCCCTGAATCCGAAAATACCGTCAACAATTATGAAAGTGGAGCAGTTTTTGAGATATAGTCAATTCCATATTAAATGTAAAACTGTTCTACTTTTTTAACTTTTGACATATTCGGATTCAGGGGATAATTTTACATAGGAATTAGCTGTTAAATTTTGGGATACAATGGTATTTCATGGGTAACAATGGTACAAGTGAAAAAGCAGCCATTATTAACTATTAAATTAGTCATTTTTGACTAATTAATTTTAAGAGAGCAGTGTTGTTTAAAATCCAGTCTCTGGATGTGCCAGTTTTACGTTCATAATTTATTTTATTTAATTTTCTATAATAGCTAACAAAGCAGTTTATAAGTTAAAGTTTTGTTTTCGGATATTTAGTTTTTAGTTTATTTTATTAAAAAAAGACTAAAAATTGATCTTGATAAAGTAAATATTACGTATAACTTACTTTCATCCTATTATTGAGTATGAGTATGAGTATGGGGATGTATGGCAAGCCCCATCGACATCTAATCTCCCAGGGTTACCTTACGCCCTTTTCGTTCTCCTACGTATCCCGCAACTGCACAGAATTACCTGTGTTTGTTGGGTCCGAATTTTTACGCCGGCTGCTAGCTCTCCCCTAGGAGGTCGTGGATGACAATGTCGGTGGTTAAGAAAATTCCCGGAATTTTGTCGCCGGGTCGGATCATACGCCCATTTTAGGCTAGTGGATTGCGGGACAAGGAGGGAAAACATGTTGGTTTTTGGAGGACGATGAACTGACCCAAAACTAAGTACAATCTGGAATTCTCCTCAACCAAGGCTTTAGTAATAAACCCATTCAATTGGGAATCATAAATGGGGGAATGAGGGTTAATACGCAGCTAGAACCTATCCTTGTTGACCTGATCGTCCCTGTCCGTGTCTCTGACCGAGTCGGATTCCGGTTCCTAGTAACCGCTTTAGAATTGTTTGCCCCCTGTGCGATACTGAATCTTGTCTTCAGTACCGAAGTGTTGCCGGCCGCGACCCGCCTACATGGAAATTCAACCCCTCAGGCTGAGTACCGACTTCATAGTGCAGCCATTTAGCCCCCGCCTTTATACAATTTACTAAAAAAATTGCAGATAGTAACTATAGTAAATAGTAATAATGATTAATTATTGCCAGGATTTTGTTGCAAATTTGAGTATTAGGTCATGCAATTATTATACTTATCATTTTGCAGATGGTGTCCCCTTCCACCCTTGGTTAGACCCGTTTCTTCTTCACATAGGTGATTCCATGACCTGTCCTGTGTCACTAAATTACTTCAGTGTCCTTATGGTCCTTATCCCTGTATTCACTTGTTGAGAGATTGCTTTTTGAGACACTATTTAATGTTTTTATTAAGACTTTGGGGAACAGGTACACTGCTTTCACCTGCACAGGTAGTAAATTAGTAGCACTGATTTTACCTGCACAGGTAGGAAACTAGTAGCGCTAATTTCGCACGGTATTTTCTTTAAACTACACTGTATATGAGCGATTTTTATGTATCTTTAACACTTTTATTGTGTTTAGGTACTTGAGAGCACTCGAGCTCACACATCTATTCGCTTTCAGTTCTGATTTGAAACTGAACTAACTTTCATCCTATTAATTTATAAAAATAAAAATACAGACAACTTTATTACTGTGCACAGTTTTTACCAAATAATTTTTTTTATGTCAATTAGGTGAAGTCCATGACCGTCTTATTTCACATGTAACTAAAACACATTTATAACGATTGCATTGCGGTACAGAACATTTTAATTTCGAAAATGTAAGCTTAACCAACGAGCATGATTTAAAAATGCAGATTATGTTATCACGCGTGGTAATAAACATGTACCTACGTACAACAGATACAAATCTTTATTATTTCTGCAGAAATACCAATTATTAGTATCCAATAATTTGAAATATTATGACCAAGAACACTTTTCTTCATTATGACAATTTGTTGACAAATAATTTATCAATTTCCAGGTAAAGCATAGAGTTTTAAATAAAAATGACGTGACACCAGAAGAAAAAATATCCCACAATTAGTGCGACAAAATGAAGGTGTATTATCTAGAGACCCCCAGGAATTCCAGAAAATTGTTTTAAAAATTCTTCCTTCATTATTTAAAAAGATACAGGGGAGTCATATTTTCTTTAAATGGCAACATTGCCTCAAAAAAAGGGGATAGTTTAATTCTTAATCATCATGTTAACATTGTTGTTTGTTGTCATGAAGATTAAAAATTAAACTATTACTTTGTTATGAGGCAATATTACCATATAAAGAAAACTTGACTCCCCTGTATCTTTTTAAATAATGAAGGAAACATTTTTTAAACAATTTTCTGGAATTCCTGGGGGTCTGTAGATAATACACCTTCATTTTGTCCCACTAATTGTGGGACACCCTGTATAGTGTCAAAAAAAATACCTTACTTAAAAATTACCTTGTATAAACAATTTTTACTTTATTTTGTGCAATTAAAATCCATTGTAGAGTTTTTATATTTGAAATGCGTTTCAGCCTGAAAAATAAAGAATTATAAGAGGGAAATTGTACTTACTGTGGTTAGAACTTTGGCGGCCCTGTTGGCGAACTGACGAGCCTCGAAGTTCCATTTCACCTCGACTATTGTCCTGTGAACAGTCAAATATAGCAATTTATAAAGGATAATTGCCAGTTTGAGTCATAATAGTAAAGGAATTTTGGTCTCGAATTCCAAAACAATAAAAAAGTGATTTAAAACAACCAACATAAAATGATTTTATTAATGTTTATTAATTTAACATTGCAATATATTAAATTAATTGTTCATATATATGCATATATATATATATATATATATATATATATATATACATATATATTAGGGTGGCCCAAAAAAAAATAATATTTTATTTTTCTCGGCTCTTGTAAAAATATGTTAGTTTATCATGCTGCAAGAGCCCTGTCAAAATATCAGCTCGATTAATAATTTTTTAGGGGTCGCTCAAGATTTTTAAAAATTTTTCAAATCGTCAAAAATTCAATTTTTGTTCCAATTTAATTTTTTTTCTCGTCTCGATATTATTTGTTTGGTTAAAAATAATTAAAATTGTGTAAATTTTAAATTAAAATATTGAATATTGAAGGTCGCTAAAAGTTCGTTGATATTTATATTCAGAGATCGCTCGAAAACTTTGAAATTTAAAAAAATCTTGAGCGACCTTTAAAAATCAAAATATCGATTTTAAATTTTCAGAATCTTTATTATTTTTAAATTAAAAAATAATATCGAAACGAGAAAAAAAAATTAAAATATAAAAAAATTTTGGAAATTTTTAAAAATTAATAAAATAATTTTCACATTTAGTATTATTTTACAAGAAAGGCACTTTATTATAACGATTGTATGACATTTGACAACTGTCAACTAACTTAAAACTAACTTCAGCCCTTGACTAAAAACCTGTTGCTAACTTCAGCCCGTGACTAAAGCGCCATAAAGCCACAACTTGTCAATGTGTATTTAAAAGGTCACTTAGTGTCATGCAAACATGTACGATAAAGGGCGTTTTAAAGCGTGTATGTTATAAAATAATGTATTTATTGTAAATGTATTAAAAGCAGCGGCACATACCTATATAAAAATAATTATTATTATTTATGCAACGGCTCGTAAGTGAACAAAAAACCTCCAAAAAATATGTATAATACATCGCACATAAGTGGTTACATAACAAATTGAAACATTGGATGTATTCAGTGGTGGATTTACCAGAAGGCTGAGGCTAATTTAACTCAAAAAACCTTATTATATACACAAAGAAAAGAAGTCTCGAAAAAAAATATTTAAAGAAATACCCGATGAAGATATGAAAGAATGACTGAGAGTGAAACTTTCAGGGTTAACAAGTTTCTCGTCCTGATGTATAGACTAGTGTCCGAATTAGAAAAACGATAGAAGGCCTACAACAGATTTAACGAGTTTTCATTTTTAACCAAAATGAGTGAGTTGTTATCATTGACCCTGACGGAAAAAGCCATTTTCTTAAAAAAAATGTATCCTAATAATTTAGAAAAAAAACTAAAAGCTTTAGCTATATTATGTATAGAGTCAGAACTAATGAACAAGATTTCATACGACGATATAATTGATGATTTTGTGGATTTAAAATCAGTATGACCACAAAAATGACCTTCACTAAGCAACCCCTGGGGCTGTAGCCACCCCAACTCAATGCTTAATAGTTTATTTGTTTTTAAGTAAGCAACATTTTTTTAAAATTATTTAATTCAATTTCTCTTTAAATAAACAATTTCGGAGTCGTAAAAACATTAGTAAAAAACTAGAGAACACAAAATAATTTTAACAAAAGTATTATAAACTATACAAGCATAAATAAACAAATTGTTCAACAGTAATCAAAATACTTTAATTGTAAGCTTATTAAAATGCTCAATGGAATGCCTATGTTTTTAGTGAATTTTTTTTATCAGATTTATAAAAACTTACAAAAAATACTGCTATTTATGATAATTAGTTTAATATTTTAAATAGTATTGTTATTTTTATTTATTGTACAAACAATCGTTGTGCTCTACGAACTGCAGTGGCATTTAATTAACTACACCCTGGCAAAAATTTGCGTCATAAATATGTTCAAGAGTTGATTTCAAAATTTGAACAAACGGGATCCGTTTGCAATCGAAAAAGAAACCAACCTAGGATACTTAATGAAGCTACCCATATTAAGGTTCTTGGCCAGTTCGGTGTAGATCCTACAATATCACTCCGTTCAGTATCTAGATTAACAGGACTTTGCCCTGAGTCGGTTAGGAAGGTGTTGAAACATTACAAATTTCATCCATTCAAAATGCATATTACACAAGCACTTGGCATTTAAAATTTTGTGGAATCATGACCAATAAAAAAACAAATCAGATTCATATACTAAAAAAGATTTGCTTCAGAGTGTGTACTTTTTATCGAAATAGAAATGTTAGCAAACAAAATTTTCTTTATTGGAGCAAATCCGCATCTTATCAGACAAAATCATACCCAGTTCCTGAAAAACTTAATGTCTGTGCAGGAATTTGTATTATTGGTCCCTTATTTATTGACCAAAGTTTTAATTGTTAAATTTATTTTTAAATATTAGATAAAACAATACAGCCACTAATAGTAAATGAACTAGAAAATCAAAGAGGACAAGATGATTATTTTATAGTAGATGCTTGGCTTAATCAGAATTATCCAGAACAGTGTTATTTAAACGTAAAATAGAAATTCACGATGAGCGACCTCTAAATATTAATATTAAGAGCTACAATTTTCACAGGCTTATTTTTTTACTACTAGGAAGATATTTTAATGCGGGCTTTGAAGAAAAAAAAATATTGGATTTTTTTGAACCAGTCTAATATATATATATATAAAAATATGTATATATATATGTATATATATATATATATATTATATATATTTGACACTATTATTTTATCAGTTGGGTCTTGACTCTTGAAGTGTTAGGATGCTCAAAGATAGTTAACGAGACCTCTCCTAATCAGCGTATACGATACAAACGTAGTAAAGTATCAAAGCGAATCTAAGTATGCGGAAATACCGGTAATCGGTAATAAATAAATAAATAAATAAACAAACAAGTGCGAAAAGTGCAACATTTGCGAAAAGTGCGCCGTAAAATAACAAAAAATCAATATCGATTCTACACGTGATAACTGTCCCAAGTGAAAAAGAGTGCAAATTGTGTGTGGTACCCCCCCTGGACTAAGTCCTCAAGTGTTTGACCTGATTAAAAGGTGTGAGAGAGACGATCAGTTACAATGAAAATTTCCTGGGCTACCACACGGGCGGGAGGCATGCGATAAGGATCAATTCAGCACACCTGCCTGGCAAATATCCCGGAGTCCAAGTCTGCATAAACTAGATAAGTAGCTACCAAATTGCATGACCATGACCACCCAATAATATTAATACTAGTTAATACGAAATACGCAACCTTTAACTAACAATAATTCTTCAGGTAAAATTAATTAGTCGCAAACAATTTCCAAGATTCTCATGCAAATGAAACAGTAAAAAACTATAAACACAAGGGCACATAAGAAGCCATTAATCACTCAAGTTACGATAAACATTAGGCAAAAGAAACCATCCTAAAGAAATTTATTTATTTATGTTTACATCTATAGATTAGGGGGTCATAAATTAAGTAAAAACCGTTCTAAGCGTATAGCTGCAATGCACAGTGAGGCGCAAAGATGGATCCAACCCCAAGTGAATGAGGATCAGGCACATTGGGAAAAAAATAATTCGAGTGTCGACAATTCCAGTATACTACGTAGACAGAGGGCACTAATTACGGCGGGCTACGGCCGGCAACACTTCGGTTCTGAAGATAAGACTCAATCGCACAGGGGGGCAAACAATTCTAAAGCGGCTGTCAGGAACCGAAATCCGACTCGGACAACGACGAACAGGAAGTACACCATCAAGGAAAGGCGCTAGCAGCATACTAATCCACCCACCCCCATTCAGGAATACCAAATGAATGGGGTTATTACTAAAGCCCTGGTTAAGGAGGATTCCGGATTGTACTTAGTTTTGGGTCAGTTCAATGTCTTCCAAAAACCCTTCCTAAACTGGACGTATGGCCCGACCCGGCTGACAAAAATCCGTGGAGCGGCCTTAACCTTTGACACTGTCATCCACGACCTCCTAGGGTGGATCTACCAGCCGGCGTAAAAACTTCGGATCCAACAAACACAGGTAATGCTGTGATTTGGCGGGATACGCAGGAGAACGGAAAGGGGGAAAAAATACCCCGGGAGATTAGTGGATGATAATATATTTGGGACCTGCCATACGTTCCCATACTCATACTCATTTGACACTATTATTTTATTGTTTTTATAATTTTGCTTGTTTTAGGTCTAAAAATGACTTTTTTCAAACAAGTGTAATTTAAATTTGGTGTAACGTTTAATAGTTTTGCATTATGCATTAATGTCTTGAATATGTGTACTAACAACGGGAGCAAAGATGCAGAATCAGTTCGGCTCCAAGTGTGCACATGTTCAAAGTTTCAGAATTTGTTTGAATATAATGCACTATGTTTGGATGACGGCATGCAAACATTGAGTTTGTTTAATTAGGAAACTAAGGCATAAATGGCCAATTAAAATATAGTTACAAATAAAAAATAATGGGTTTAAACGTCGTATCTACCTAATTAACAATTTTTAATGAATTTTTTCATGTAGTTTATCAAAATAATTGCGGTTTTTAATAAACATATAAAATCAAGCCTTATTCAAAGAATTTTTAATATATAGGTTAAACATGTTGCACAGGCAGCTAATAATTTCAGTCTTCCTGTTTATTTTCATTCAATGTAAGTACTACTACACTACTCCACTAGTTTAAAACCAAATTATAATTAAACATAATAATTGGAAACATAAAATAGAAAGTTATTTTGTTTGTTGTGCTTCGCGGTATTATTTCAACAATGCTTTTATGTAATCCTTACCTTTAATGCACGTCCGTTTATAAGAAAATTATATGCCCTACAATTATATGCCCTACAATTATTTATCTTTTAGAACTGTAGCTTATACAGGGTGTTTCACATTCTTGGTTCA